CCAAAATCTGGAGCTCTAAAGAAGTGGAAATTGTTTGATTTATCACATTTTTATTGCCAATTATATTGAGATTACGATGTCAACTTGGACTCCAGAAAATGATAATTTGCAGAATCATATGCGAAGCTATAGAATCAAATGCAAAAGCATCTGGCAAATATACCCTTGAATGTCATACTTATTGGAACACATTCCTCTAGATTAAAAGTAAAATTTGCAATCACAGCCCTTACACTATGACACTGTGTCCTTTTTTTGCCTTTATACCATGCCAAAACTTCTGTAGATTTTACTACCACCTGCATGATTTTTGTAGCTAGATAGTTCAAATGTGGTATCAAAAGCCATTACGTTTTACGACAAGAAATGCATGTGAACTCCTATGCATTGCGAAAAACACCACCACATGATCAAGTACAAATGAAAGGTATACAACAAAATTTTAGCTTTATAAAAGTTTTAAAGAACTTTAAAAATGGATAGCATGAAGTAATAATGGACTCAAGCTGACTGCATTAGTTTTCATGAAAATCCTCCATTGATGAATGCTTTGCATATAAGATTTGAAATTTGGAGTAATATTGTCGTCAAAGGTGTAATGGTGATTCTTTTTGGCTTTGCTACCAAATGGCAGGAAAGAACAGAGGGAAATGTTAGTGATGAATGAGAGAGGACAGGAAACAAAATTAGGCTTTGGGTTTTGCTCCTCAAAGTCACTCGTTTGGCATCACACAAACCTAGAATTGTAATTTAGTCTAAATCCTCGATCAGGGGAAGCATTGATCCGCTAAACAGACTGAGACAACAGAACCAATCAAAATTTAACTGCTTGGTTTGGTTTAGAATGTGTTTAAATTGGTTTCGTTCGGAAATTTTCAACAGGAACCAACAGACGACTCCCTCCTCTCTCTAGACTAAAACTCTAATTTATTTACATTGGTCCACAAATTTCATTCTCTCATTCCCTCTAATTCAATTTGCATCGTTCTTTTATCTATTCCTTGATCTGCATCATTCTTTCCTAATTCCTTGGTTCATGTCTTTCATTTAGACCAAATAGCCCATTTTAGCTATAAGAGAGTCCAAATCCAAACCGAATAGATCAAACTGAACTAATTCGCTTTAGTACCCGAACAAAGACAGTTTGGTTCGGTTTGCCAGAATTTGTAACCGACACCAACATTTTCTCACCCCTACTATGGAATCAACCGCTTCACATGAGCTAAGGTCTCACATAACCAAACCTTGAGTTTTAAACCCAATTGCACCAGAAATCCAAAGAAACCATACCTTTACTCATAAACTTCTTCATTTATTCCTTTCTAAATTTCCAAGAGAAGATCGCCCTACGCTCCACTTATTAGAGAAAACTCGACCTCAAGTTCTTGCATATCACGAAGAACCTTGAATTTCTGTAATTAATTCATGCGACCGCGACTATATTTTTGTTGAAAAGGTCTGGATGGAAATTTTCCTACATAAAATCTGAATTTGAAGTAATGTCAATAGCAAAGTTGTGTATCTGTGAAGAAGTAATGCCGATCTATTTGGATGTGGGAAATGCAGGTGATAGTTTTGAAGTCTTAGTCTTATATAGACCTACAAAAACTTGACTGTTGAGAGATTAATCATTAATAAGGAAGAGTAATAATTATCCTAAATTTACTAAAACAGAAATTTTCCAACAATAGGATCTCAAAAGATTTCTAAATCAACTGAAACTCTGACCTAATATTCTTCTTTTATAGATGAGGCTATAAGAAACTTTTTACTAAGTATAAAAGAAAATTTGGCCATCTTCTTCTGTGTCTTCATCAATTACTTTGTGAGCCCTTTCTTTAGGAAATAAAAAAAGTCCTAATAATAGGATCTAAAAAGATTTCTAAATCGATTAAAATTCTTAACTAATAATTTTTCTTTTACAGATAAGACTACAAGAAATTTGTTATTAAAATCAAATTCCAATACTAAAAGAAACTCTGGCCATCGTTTTCCCCCCTTCATCTATTCCGTTGCAAGTCCCACATAATTTATTGGTGATTCTAGACCTACCCTGATAATTATCATCATGCATAATGCCAAGTTCTACTAGTTCTCAAGAAAATTACATCACTTGCTCTCAGTGGGATCTATTCTAATAAAATTATTATGAAGTGACTTGATACCTTGTTACTGACTAGATTTCAGTAAGGAAACAACGAAGAAGCTAAAGAAGTATTACCCAAGCTCTGTAATAACATCTTGACACGTTCGAGCATCCGTATTTAAAGAATGGTTAAATGTAGTCTGTCTTTCAGTTGGAGCAGAATCAGCATTAGTTAGAGTTGCAGTTGGAACAGCCACATCAGTATCACTATCACAACCTTCTTTCTCACTACTTCCATGATTAGAAACCCATCCGAAAAGTTTATGGCAGATCTCTGTGGGTGAAAGAAGAAAATGTACTGCCTTGTGAACCATGTCAAAAATTGCTTCAATGAAAATCTCAATTGCTAGGTGAAGATCCTGGAGAATAAGATGAAATGTTTCATTTTAAAAGTTACACCAGAAACATACCATGTGAGATGAGATGATGAAAAAGAAATAATTCCAGAAAATATCACTGTGAAAATGGAATATGGAGGTTAAATCTGTAGTTAGAAATATAACAATTTGTAAGATATACCTCAATCACACCGCGCCTCCGGTCAGTAGTTCGCTGGACAATATCGTGCTTTATGTGGGGGGGTTTCAGAGTAGAAAGAGGACCTGACGACTGGTTAGAGATTGGTGAATAATTAGGTCCAGTACTGTTCCTTCTAAATCCAACCAACTCACACATTACAATTGGTATCCTCAAAAAAACTGTGACTGTCCACAGAATCCAGGAAAGCAAGCACTTGATCGTGCGTAGTACCCGTCTATCATATCTTTTAAAACTTTTCAAACTGCTTGCACGAGACAAACGGGAAGCATGGGATGCAGGAGATGCAGGAAGGATGTCATCCTCATCATCTTCTTCAAGAGAAATATAGTCTGCACTTGACGAGCCGTCAGGATCCACAGAAAGTTCATGGATGAATTCATTGAAGGAAGAAACACCACTGTCACAAAAGGCATGATTGACATATTAGTACTATCCAGTTGTCTCCACAAGATGAGAACACCACATGACTATAAAAAGGACAGGATAAAAAGCAAGAGGACCAGATAACAATACTATGCCTTTCCTGGACAACAGTCATGGTCATATTTCAGACCCAAATTGGTAATGAAAATTACATTCCTCTAGTTTGAACCAGTAAACCACCACTAAGCATTGCATTACAAGCAGGTTGGAAACTCTTAACGTAGTATGGACTTGGAAGTAGCTTCCCAGGAGACAAATGTATGCCAGGCATAACATTCAAAACTTTAAGCATTAGGGAGATAATTCACAAGAAGTCTTCAAATCGTAATAAACATAATAATATCCAAAGAACTTGAACTGTTTGTCAGAGTTATAATACTTTCTAATCAATTGTAGTATAATGAATTAGCTGTTCAATGTTCTGGATAACCTTCAAGATGGAATTCATTTCACATTCAATGCAGAGACTTAACATCCAAAAGGCTAAGAAGAAATTGTGGTTCAAATTTTCACTAGTTTGGTAAATCATGGAACTTCAGAAAGAAGAGGGATGTGAGAGAGTGAATTAGAACGGGAGAGAGAGAGAGAGAGAGAGAGAGAGAGAGAGAGAGAAGTAATAGTGTTTGCCCAATAATAATACAATGTAAGGATCAGAAAGGACTGAGACTTAAGTCCTAACTCACCACCAGCAAGAAGAACCCTAACGGTAACTGCCTCAGAATATTGACAAAAATAAGTGGAGATTGAGAAAATGTTTTATTATTGCTCTTACAAGAACAGGAAAGAAATGTGCATTTCCCCATTCAACATTTCAATTGAAAGTTGAAACTAACTAAAAGCATACAGTACTGTATTTCGAATACCCATCGGAATAAGAATAATCCACACCATTTTCCACAGCTTTATAAGATAACATGTAACCTAGACCTGTTTCAGCTACAAGATGCTCACAGTCAAACATTTAAGTTTTTCCAGGGATAATGTAGCCATGTGCCACAGGAGTGGTTCATATTGTTAGGGAAAAGAAATTGTGGACAGACTTCCCCAAGCATTTGCCAAGCTAGAAACTAATATGAATAAATCCACAGTGCACAAAAATAAAATCTACTGACTACCATAGAGTAAGAAAAAATGAGGGGTGAAGTTTAGGGTTGCATTGTAAAACACTAAATTCTCTTACCTTATGGAAAGACCCTTTCTTATCTAGTTGTCTCTTATGTCCACATGGACTAACTGAAAGAAAGTTTTACATCAAATCAAGGAACTTAAAAAAGAGAATAAATGAGTTTGTCTTTCATTTTACAGCATTGGTTAAGACGTGATAATGGTTAATTAGAGGATCAGAAAGCATTGACCAACAATAGAACTTATAATAGGTTATAGTTATCACTTGTAATGCCTTGAGCAAACACCTTGTCAAGAGGTCATCCATTTTGGGACTACTCCCCTTTGAACACGCAATTCTTTTAGCGATTTCTCTCTCAAAAATGCTTGTGGTTAATTATTGGGTTCATTAGAGTTGTTTTTACCACAAACTCTTCTTATGCATACTTAAACGCGTGACTATTGCTTGTCTGACATACTCCCCAAGTTCAGATATGGAACTTCGTTATATTAATATTTCAGCATTATATACTACTAGTGTGAACACCGTGCTTTCACGGCATATTTTTCCTGCTACAGTAATCCCGGTTTAACCGTTGCCATCTTTTGGGTTTTTGAATTGCTACAGTATTTTCACCTCTGACATAGTATTCCCATGTGCTACAGTGATATTTTTTCAAAAAACAGTGTCCAGTTCCGCGCTTGCTACAGTAGTAGTGGTACACTAAATTCTACTGTGGCATTTACTGTAGTATGAATAGCGAATCTTGGCTTCTCCCATTTTTATTTGGAGTAGATTAGGGTGTGGTGATTGTTATATTAATATTATAGTACTTAACGTTAGGGGTGGACCTAAGTTGCATGAAAACGGATACGGGAACACGGGCAGGTATATATATATTGAAATTAATAATCTACATGAGTTCATTATTGTTTTTCACTTCATGCATCATTAGAATTAAAATTCCTGTCATATTTTTTAGTTTCTTTTACTATACTGATTATTATAATTTGGAAACTACTCATTTTTGAACTAGACACTGAAACAACCCTTTAAACTTATAGTTTTGAAGTTGGGTATCGGCTGAAACGAACCTGACTCACATCTAACTAGTTTCAAGAAATGGATGTGAAGGGTAGGCTATACATCCAAGAAGTGTTTGACAAGTTTTTTAAATCAAAACATATATCATATAATTGACTACATGTCATTATAAATGTAGGCATATATTCAAGGAGTGTCCATGAAGTTTGGGTATGGGAACATGTCGGATACGTGTCGGGAACAGATACGGATTCATGATAGAAGTACCGGGTAACATAGGGTGTGACATATTCCCCAGGTTCAGGGTATGGAATTTTGCTATGTTAATATTGCTTACATATTCCTCCACTTCAGGGTTTGATATTTGGCTATATCAATGCTTCAGTAGGCAATATGGAATTCTATAGGCAGGCATTATAGATTCAATGGACAGTCCCACGCCCATCCTTTTGTTTAATGGTACTTTAACTTGTATAGCAATTAGCTCGATACAGCACTTAATTTCTCACATTCAGGTAGTATTGGATATAAATGAATTTGTCATACTCTAAGCAAAAATGTTCTGTGATGTCAGTCATCCTCAAATTGCTCATACTATGCAATTTTTTCATTATTCCTCCCTATGTTATGACTAATTCTTTGAGTTATAATGAATTGTTTGAATTCATAATATATGAACTAGTACAGATTAGGGAATCATTATGCGTAGCCATGTAGAACTATTACTTAGGTTCGAAGGCAATAGCCCATATAATATGAGGGACTTAAATATGAATTTGGTGTTTTCAATATAAAACTACGGCACCCATTAGGTAGTTTATCTTAAAATCTCAAGAAACAAACAAATGGCAATAGTCATGGTATCAATTTCAATTTCAACTATGGCCTCACTCCTGTTTCCACAAATTTCACTAAGTTCTCTAAATTATATTTTATCCTCCAAAAGTTCTTTGATACATATAGATTTGACATGCAGCATTATCCCTTGCCAGGCAATTTCATCCAACAAGTTTGCCATCTAAATCCTAACACTCTAATTCAGAATTCTTCCAGTGACATAAAAGTAAGTCATTCATGCCTTAACACTAACTATAATGTAACGCAATGAACTTTTAACTAAATTTCCAGCTTACCTCTTTTTCTCAAATTTGTCAGCTGGTTTTAACTTTAAATGGAACTTGAACAGCATCTATAACCATATTGAAGCTCCAAAAAGTGATATAAATGGACCCAAGAACAACTTCTCATATCATCCTTGTAATCACTAGCCTCATGATTCATGAGCTATATAAAAAGACTGAAGATAACTAACAAACGTCAAAAGATAGAAGGTCAAAACTTCATTATGCTTTTTCTTGCTGCAGAAACAAGTTTCCTCCTTTTCTCTTCACAGCTGATCCAATCTTAAGTTGATGATTTGCATGGGTTCCAATTGCCACAGAAAGATATATGAATAAGCATAAATAAAAGGACAAATGAAACAATGCTCTAACAGTAATCTTTTCTTCCAGAAAATCACTTCTCCATAAGTACCACTTGTATAAAAAATATACTTAAAACTTTTATATAATGAGAAAGAACCAAACTTACTTTTCCATCCAACGAGGAAGTCGAGGTCCCCGTAAAGCGGGTCTGAGTTCCCATCCTTGGATACCCTCTAACATGGTGGTCTTTCCTGGAAGGACAGCTAGTAGTAGTGCAGACACACCATTTATTAACCTTGCAACATTGTTTAATGATTCATAAGTGAATGTCTTCACTGACCTGCAGGAGGAACAAACAAATATTAATGATGTGTGAGGACAGTTTTGATTAACAAGTGCAAGAGAAACAAATTAAAGAGCATGTTAACTGTCGACATTAGATGTAGAATGAGCAAAAGCAGCTATGGACCTATGGTCGTCCCAGTGTATAGAGTAAATATACTAGAGACCTCAAAGAGAAAACTCTTTGACAATTTATAAAGAGACAAACAAATTGAGAGTATAATTAATGAATTTATCTTGCAGTAATTTTCAAGAAAAAATATAATGCATTATTTGGGATATTATGAAAACTTCACCCTCTTTTCATTACACAGATAGTGCACCTGAATTGTTATATCGTGGAGCTTATTAAAACCCTGACAGGGACTACAGCCCAAACAAAAGGAAAGGAAAAGGAGAATCTCATAACATAATAATAGGAAGATCAACTTCAAAAGTCAACTAAGTGATTTCCATGACTTCAAACCTGAAGTACAGATGCATCAATATTCAGCTGATCTCCATAGAAATATCCTCATTTTATGTTACCTAACATGTGACTGAATCTGAGGTATATCAATGAATCAAGAAAAGAAAATATTGTTTTCATCTAACAATATCAGAAAATATAATAACATCAGAAAAGACAGCAATGCACTATTGTTTAT